TTTCGATTTTGAGATTTTGTATCGATTGGGAAAGGAAAATAGGGCAACCGATGCCTTGTCCAGGTGAGGGGGAGGTGTCACTTTGGTGGAACTTACAATCTCCCAGGTAAGTCATGGAGGTGAGATCTTGGACGACTTGCTCAATGAACCAAAGTTAGTGGAGATTCGAAAAAAGATAGAGATTTCAGATGAGGAAATGCTCGGGTATAACATCGATCAAGGGCACGTACGATACAAGGGCCGCCTAGTTATCCATCAAACGTCCAAATGGGTACTATAGCTTTGTTAAGAATGTCCCGGAGGGGTAACAGAAAAAAATATCAACACCTCGCAAGAGATTTCTTTTGTGTGCGAATGAGACGCGATGTGGCAAGATTTGTTGCCAAATGTGCATTTTGCCAGCGCAATAACCACTCAAACTTGGCTCCATTACCGAACCAAATCTGAGAGGATCTAGGGTTTCGTGCCATCAGACTCCTCCACGAGAGGTTTCTCAGGGTCTCGTGGGTCCTAGCGCAGGTCCCTTTGTGCCAAAGTGTAATCTTTGAAATGACTCCAAGCTATCTGTTCGAGCCAACGCGGTGGAGTTTGCCCGCCCATGCATTTCCTCTGGCTGTTGTTGCCGATATGGATGACATGGCGAACATTACCGTTTGTCATAACATGCCTTATGCTACTACTCAGGTCATGTTTTATCTGCTGGCTAGCTCTCGGCGCATTCAACGCCTTGATGAGCTGGAGCACGTCCAAGATGATTTTGTTGGACATGAATCAGAATACTAACTGCAAATCGTAGAGCTTGAGAAGGAAATCCGCGGCTTCAACCAGAGGCATGATCTGTTGGCTTCGGAAAAGGCATCTGTGGAAGAGGTTCAAGCGTCGTTGGAAGCTAAAGTGGATTCTCTGGTGCATGCCAAGGAAGGATTGATGATCCAAAATGAGAGCCTTGAACGAAACATTGTTGATCGCGATATGCTAGTTGAAGAGGCTCGGGCTGAGGTGGAGACCCTACGCTTGGATCGTGATTGGCTTCTGCAAGTGGGGGTTGTGCACATCATGGAAAAGTTGATTGAGCATCCAGAGTTCATTGGTGGGGTTAGCCGAATTAGCCATGTTGCTTTTGTTGTCGAGGAGAGTCTGATCGTGCTGGGCTAAAGTTGGAGATAGACTCTGGAACCTATAATCCTTAAGCCAACGATTCCCGGTCCAGACATACCACAGAATTGGACGATGCACTGCTTAGCTTTGCCACATTTGATTAACTTACTGAACATAGGTAATAATCATGCAGATCTACAATCTAACACATACTCAGTATAACATTAATCCAATATACCAATATACAAAATCCAGTGGGCCGGCCTTGGTGCCTTTGACCCACAAGTACAGTGAGGAAAACTCACCTCACAATCTGAAAAGATAGCTGAACATATCACAGATCCAACTACTGATTCTACAGGTTACATATACAACAAACAATGACCTAGTCTCAAACTACTGCTCGAAATACCCAAAATACCCATAGGTCTGACTTGGTCAAAATCCTGGTCAAGGTCAAAGTCAAAAAGTCAAAGATTCTTTCCGGGCTACATACGCCCAACGTACTCCCCTCTATGCCCAGCGTAGAGGGTGCCTCGCAAGATTACGGGCTCGAACCCTGGTACGCGCAACATATCTCCAGGTACGCCCAACGTACCAGAACTGAACCCCAATTTTTCCATTAAGCTCTTATTTAATTAAGCCAATGCACCAAACTTCAGATCCAGGTGAAAAAGGGACATCTTAATGGATAAGCTCTCTGACTTTATCCATTTACATGCATTCAGGAGGGTAAAAACTCAAACCCTTGTTCCAAAAGTCATCCAAACCTCCCAAACTCTTGCATGGCTTAATGAGAGTGTCCAAGCTTTTATTTTTATGAATATAGAAGCTTCAAACTACAAGAAACCACATTTCAAGGACAATAGATACTCATAAGATGCCTTGAGCTTCTAAGTTGATTCCAATCCTTTCTTCTTCCTTCAAGATCAACAAAAGCACACTTTCAAGCTCAAAATGCACACACAAAGGATTAGGGTTTGCTAGGGACGATTTGGGAGATGGAGGCTGATGATGGAAGAGGTCTTGAAGAGATAATGACGCTTAAATAAGGCCCAAACACTAAAAATTAGGGTTTGACCCTCATCCACTTACACCCAACATAAGCTGAAGTACGCCCAACGTACTAGGCATAAACACATTTTTCACTTAAAGAGCCAAAAGACCAATTTTGCAAATAAAATTCATACTAAGGGTATAAATGGAAAATACCTGGATCAAGGTGTTACCTGATAATTGATGTTATGTGTTACCGAGCTGCTGATAGCTCCACAACGTGCTATTAGCCCATTAGGACTGCTGATAGTCCCTAGGGTTACTGATAACCCACATAGTGTCTTGTTAGCTCACATGCATACTGTTAGCTCATTGGGACTCTGATAGTCCCCATGGTTGCTGATAACCCATAACTGTTAATTTATGCTGTGTTGTATGTGATATTTTGGGGGACTCACTAAGCTTTGTGCTTACAGTTGTGGACTTAAATGTGTTTCAGGTACTTCAGATGATTGGGGGAATGTGAAGGCTTGACTCCACACTCTCCTTGATAGTTTTCATGATTCCGCATTTTGTGATACTTTGATTTTGGGATGATTGTATTTTTATACTTATGATTTTCTTGACTTGACTTTCCTTGAAACTATGTTTTTATATAATTTAAAAATGAAAAATTTTGTTGTGATTTTCGGAATGTTACATACCGCTGCATGTGCGGTTGGCAAAATCCTAGCTTTGATAAATTGGTACATGTAATTCCCATATTTACCCATGTTTTGATCCATTTGATTCTATAATAAAAAATGTACCGTTTGACGAATTTTCTGAAGTAGGTTGAGAAGTTGTTGGTCGATTTGTAGCCAAAAGTCTCTAAATGTCATGCTCCCCCGACATCTAAAGGTCATTGACTGAAATAACATTAGCCCTCTTCATTGTAAATGGTCCATAGTTTATCCTAGTTTACCAACATTTGCTTTGACACTCAGCTCCCATTAAATAGTATGTACGTATGCCACATTAACAAATAAAATAATAACATGTTAAAACTAAATAACAACGAAAACCTTAAAATTTTATATTGAAATACATGCGATAACAACATTTTTGCAGGAAGATATGTGATTTTTGTTGATAACATATGTTGAAATGTCCAATTTATCTGCAAAAATGTTGTTTTCGTACGTATTATCCAAAACAAATAAACTACAAAATGCATATAAAACACGGAAAAACAATGTTTTCACAGGTGAAATCTCAAAATACATCTATGAATACAAGATTTCTCTCTACTTGCGAAAATGTTGTTTTGGAAGGTATAATGCAACAAAAAACGTGAAAAAAAAACAACATAAAACGTATAAACGATGAAAAAACATACTTTATAGGTAGATTGTTATCGTCTTGTTTCATTTTCTTCCTATGAAACTTTTTTAGGTTTGAAAGGAAAGTATAAAAATTAAGAAAAGAGTAAATTACACGAATGGTCCCTATGGTTTGGGGTAATTTACACGCTTGGTCCCTAACTTATTTTTTTAACTCGGAAGGTCCCTATTGTTTGTTTTTGTTACACGCTTGGTCCCTACAGTTTGTTTTAATTACGCGCTTGGTCCTTATCTTACCTAAAAAGACTATTATTTAAATAGGGAAAAATTGTGAGGTAGGTAAGATAAGGTGAGGGGTGGGGTTGGGAGTGTGTTTATTTAAATAAATTAAAAAATCAAGGGCAAAATCATCTTTTTAGGTAAGACATGGACCAAGCGCGTAACAAAAACAAACCGTAGGGACCTTCTGAGTTAAACAACTTACGTTAGGGACCCAACGTGCAACTTACTCTAAACCATAGGGACCATTCGTGTAATTTACTCTTAAGAAAATGAAAGTCTAAGAGAAATTAAATATCCTTTAATTTTTCTTTTCATACATATCTCCTTATATATTTAAGATTATGATATTTGTCATATTTAATAAAATTAATAAATTTTTATTATATTTGTTATTATTTATAAACAATAGGTGGATGAATAGGAAAAAAAACTTAGGTTGATGAATAGGAAAAAAAAAGTAAAAAAATATTTAATTTCTCTTTTTTTAACGTTATACAAGACAACCCACTATATTTCTTGATGGAATTGATGATTTCACGGCCAATATAAAATTCTGTTGATGATATTTGTGAAATAGTGACTATTTTTTATATTTGACTAACCTTTTACTTTTCTTTATCAAATAATAAATAAGATTGATCTGATATTTTTTTTTTCAAATATCCATACGTCACTATATATTATGATACGGAAATGAGATAAGTTTGCACGATATGAGAAATCTATTTAATCGGGTGAATTAACTTGAAGCAATATTATACAAATTAATAGTATAATTTTTTCTTGATTAATATTTCATTAAAAATATAACAATAGTTAGCAGGGTTTCTTTCAAGTCTTCTAAAGAATTACATAAAAATAAATAAAATATACAAATCCAATGTTTACCCCAAATTATGAATCTTGATGCAATGCGTAGTCATAATTTTCTTGAAATTTTTAAATGCACACTTGAAATTTACCCTTCCTTGCTTTTGGGCACAAAATCAATTTATCTTCAAATTTACATTTAGCACAACATTATTATAAATCTAATCCCTCCATTCTTGAGATCTACACTTCTTCCTCTTTCTTATCATTATGATCTTTTTCATGTATACATATATTATATGAAATACCATATACCAATATCGAAAATCCTTATTATTATTTTCGAATGTTATCCTTCGTTAATATAAACTTGTAATTATCATTTGGAGAGCTGCTTTCCGAGTTGATTCTTCAACGATGTAAACTTTGTATTCATAGTCCGTAGAGCCGACCTCAATATTGCTTCTTAAGTCTCCCCTCAATGTCGAAACATTAACGGATTGGATTTGAATGGAAAACTATAAATTAAGGGTAATTTTGAAAAAAAGAAGAACTTTGGAAGGGAGAATGAAAGTATGAAAGTTTAATAATATGATCAATTGGCACCTGTAATTCCCATTTTTACCCTTGGTTTGATCCCGTAATAACTAACGTACCATTTGACGAATTTTCTCAAGCCAGTCGACAAGTCGGTGGTCGGCTTGTAACCGAAGTCTCTGAACGCCAGGCTCACGTTAGCATGAGTATACGGAACGTCACCGTTTCGAGGCATCTTGATCACGTGCTTCTTAGCCTTCACGTTCAATAAACTCTCTAATATCGACACCAGTTTTCCCACCGACACTGGCGACTTATTCCCCAGGTTATATATCCTTAACTGCGCCGGCCCTCTCTTCTTCCCACCTTTTCCGGTACTCTTCTCCGCTGTGTCCAACGCTCCCAAGCACCCTTTCACGATGTCATCAATATACGTGAAGTCACGCGCCACCTCCTTCTCGTCGTGCGTCTGGTAAACGTTGATCGGTTTGCCTTGAAGAATGTCTTTCGTGAAGAAGAAATAAGCCATATCCGGCCGCCCCCACGGGCCGTAGACGGTGAAGAAACGGAGTCCGGTGATGGAAAGCCCGTAGATATGGTTGTAAGTATGCGCAATCTCCTCGCCGGCTTTTTTCGTGGCGGCGTAAAGACTCGCCGGTTGGTCAGTCCGGTGAGATTCCGAGAATGGGTTTTCGGTGTTGAGTCCGTACACCGAGCTCGACGACGCCCAAACGATCGACGGCTGTGGATCGGCGTTTTTCGCGATTTCGAGGAGATTCACGAATCCAGCAATGTTGGATTTAACGTATGACTGAGGATTTTGCATAGCGTAACGAACACCCGCCTGCGCCGCCAGATGAAGAATATGACTAAACGGCGCAATGTTGAAAAGCTTCGCTAACAACTCGCCGTCGTTTAAATCACCTTCGACGATAAAAATATCATGTTGCTTCAAAACCTCCTGTCTTGCTCGTTTCAACGACGGATCATAATAAGAATTAAAGTTATCAAGACCCACAACACCGTCTCCACGTTTCTTCAACGCCAGGGAGCAGTGAGTTCCGACGAATCCTCCGGCGCCGGTGACGAGCACAGAGAATCCATTTGGCCTATGTGGGGTGGATGAGCGGCGAACTTGCTTTTCCCAGGACGCGCCGCTACCGTAGAAAGCAGAGGAGATGAGGTGGGAGGTGGTGAGTACGCGGTGGTTGGAGGCGGTGGTGGTGGTGGAATCGGAGAGTGGAGGGTAGTTGAGGGTGAAGAAGAAGATGAGAACGAGAGCGACTAAAAGTGTGAGACGAAAGAGAAGCTTAGAGGAGGCAGCTAAGAGCTTGGAGGTGTTGACTTTGCGTATGTAGGTGTTGTATCGCTCGAGCTTGGTGGTTTTGCTGGTGTCCGGCGGGGACGCCATCAATGATGAAGCAATCAATGGAAGAAAGTAAGAGTCTTTCTGCAGCTTTTGGAAGAAGATGATGGATGATAAATTGAATGGATTGGAGGGTCGTTTGTTTCTGCTTGGCCCTGAGAGTGATCAAGGGTTCTCGTTGAAACATTTAAAGAAAAGAAGGAAATACCCTTTTAAAAACTATACATTCAAAAGAAACAAATACAAACATTTTTATTATTATAACATATCTCAAAAACAATTGTTTCTTTTGCGTCGACATCTTTTATTCTACTATTTAATTTAATGTTATTTAATTATAGATAATTATGTATTTCTATTAAATTATATGATAAATCAAATTTGGGATTTTATTAAATGATATCAATGAATATTACTTGTGCGTGATGTTACACGTTATTGGGAACTATATATTATTTCCACCTAAAACAATGTATTAGTATTAAAGTTAACTCCAATCGAACATCAAATCTTATAATAAATTTGGTATTGATTAATAAACAAGATGTTATACCGTTTACTAATATTATATATGTTAATGTTTTAATAATACAAATTACTTTTTGAACTTTAAACTTAATCTTTAGTTTATTATAAAATAATAATAATAATTTATATTTAACATTGCTACATGTGATATTTTTGAAAAAATAAATAGATAACCAACAAAAAAACAAAGGAACCAAAATTTATAATCTTTGGTTCTTAATAAATAGACACTTATAATGATATATGGAAAACATTTTTTTTTTAATTTTTTTTTTAATTTCATTTAAGATTCCCATGTAAATATAAATTATATTAATTTTTTGTTTAAGAAATTTAGAAAATAACATTGTAACACAATTAACTATATGATTTGTTCTGATTTAATCATTAATTATTAGTATTATTTTTTGCACAATAGGTCCTTATAGTTGTATTCTACATGTTAATTAGATGATCGACACCAAAATTGGTTGGTTTCCATGTTAACCCTGCTTAGTTGACACGGTGATGTGGCGACAAATGGGCCATGTCATAGGCACGTAGATATTGTGATTATTTTTAATTTTTTTTTTAAAAAAAAAGACGAAGTAACCCTAATTAGTCGACATACATACCCTCGTCTCTTTTTCTTCACACCTCCGCATTTTTTTTTTCTGAAACCTTGAAAACCATGGCTTCCATCGAAGGTCATGATATGTAACGCCCCGATTCTCAGGTATTGATAGTACGACTTTAAATTTCAAGTTTCAAGGTCTACTCGACGAGTGGGTGCCCTGACTCGTCGAGTAGGAGCGAGATTGGGCCACATATTTAAGTGACCAACTCGCCAAGTCGGAAGAGTGACTCGACAAGTTGGAGCTGGAGGGTGAAACCCTAATCCTCAGGGTTTTGCACCCTATTTAAAGAATCCTTTGCCCCCTTAGCCTTCCCTTACAGCCCCTGTGAGTCCAGAAACCCTAAATCTCCATTTTCTCTCCATACTTATGTGTTTAAGCTTGAAAGGTGGATCTTGGTGAGGAAAGGATTGAAGATCAAGAAGCTTTGAGCAAGGAACAGTTGGGGATCTGAAATCTACCTCAGTTTATCATGATTTGAAGGTATCAAGTCATCACCTTGAGCTTCTTCTAGCTAGATCCCTTTTATATTTGAGTTTTGGGACCATTTTGGGCATTTGGTGTTGCATTTCGAGTGATGAACCAAGATCTGAAGTTACAACTTCAGATCTAGGCTCATCTTGGCTCTTATCATCATAAAGTCTCAGTCTTTAGCATGTTGGTGAAGCTCTTTTGCCTAGAACCTCTTCTTTAGCTTGATTTAAGTCATTAGCACCTTGCATGCACATAAAGTTTGCAACTTTACGTGATATACATGCCCTAGGAGCTTGGATCTGCAGTATGGAGCCTTAGCCTGGCTTAAAAAGCATCTGTATGGATGAAGGACCGAAGGGACTCGGCGAGTGGCATGGTCGACTCGGCGAGTCCGATGAAGATTGTCGTAGACTCGACGAGTCAGTAAAGTGACTCGCGAGTCCGATGAAGATTGCCTTAGGCTCGGCGTGTCAGACGAGTGACTCGGTGAGTTGGCAAGTTATGCAAGGAACTCGGCGAGTAGCTAAGGGTACTCGACGAGTTGAGGTCAACATGGACTGTTGACCGTGGCAGTTGACTTTGACTTTGACCAAGGGTTGACCAGTTGACTTGTGAGGGTATTTTTGGTAAATTGAATATTGATAGCAAAGGACATTGGTGAATATAGGTGTTGGAGTTGGAGCTACATCTGGAAGATTTTGACACTACCTTCTGAGCTACTTGCGAAGTGAGTTATCCTCACTATATCAATAGGGTCTAAGGCACCAAGGCCGGTCCATTATGGATTGTATTTAGTTATGGCAGGATATGTTTATTGATTACATCTGGGTAGTTAGGATGGTGATATGCTTATGTGTAGTGATCTGGTTAGGTCAGTGTCCTGGTTATAGGATGATGCTATGTTAGTGACCGGTTAGGTCTGTATCCTGATTATCGGGATGTTGCTATGATTTATGATCTGTTAGATTGGTTTGACTGTTTTATATGATATGAGCTAGCGTATGATATTTATGTGCACATGTTGGTTTGATTGGGGGTTGGGTTGAGGCGGTCCTGCTTTGTGCTGAAGGCCAACATACCCGGTGAGCGGTCCGGATAGGCTGTAGGCCCTGCGAGGCGGTCCAGTCATGCCGAAGGCTCGAGAGCAGTCCAGATAGGCGGTAGGCCCTGCGAGGCGGTCCAGTCAGACTGAAGGCTCATTATGCATGCTGATTCGTATTTTTGGATGTGATATGATTATGGTTATATGCGATTGGTATTTTGGGGGGAAACTCACTAAGCTTTCGGGCTTACAGTTTTAGTTTATTGTTTCAGGTACATCGGGGGATCGCCGCAAGGCGAAGGCATGATCGTACAGCTCCTCATGATTTGTTTATGTTTCTGGGAAAACTCTGATATTATACATTTTGAAAACAAAGTTGTAATGATTTTAATGGTTTGAAATGTTTTAAAAGTTCAAATTTGTCTTGAAAATTTTTGGGTGTTACAAGTTGGTATCAGAGCCTTGGTTTGAGTGAATTGGAGGAACATTCGTGTGAATCCAGTCTCAAACTAAGGAAAAAGATTTTCGAAATAGTTTTAAATTGTTTTCAAAATAAGTAAAGGAGGATGCAGAGTGTACGATCAGCCAGAGCCAGTAAGTAGACCCCAAAATACCATACAGTTATTTGATATTATGATATGATAGAACAGCATGCTAGTACTAGGCTAGGGATCCTCGGGAATTCCATGATAGAATCACCTGCTTAGGTGATGCCTGCTAGCCTAGGGTTTCTTTATATGAGATTGACATCATTACTGTAGTTACTTGTGTATGTATCACGGTTGTACATAATTAAGATCTTATAGCCCGAGAATGTTTGATTTGACCTTATGTTTTGTTCTTATTGATTAGGGATTAGGGTAGGATCGGATATTCAAAAGTCTATAGGGTCCAGCGTTATGAATGGCTAGCATACACTAGTGCTACAGGGTTGGTGGAAGTTTCATGGATGAGTGAGTTGTGTGGAATCGGTAGGTCAGTTGTGAGACAGTTAGCCTTCCTCTAGGAGTGAGGATCGAGTGCTCTCTATGCTTATGTATATTGTTAGGGTGTTGTGATGATACTTGAGACAAATATGGGTAGGTGTGGAAGGTAGTATGGGCCCGTACTACTGAAAGCACAGGACCCATACGCGTATCAAGGAAGTCACAACCCCTAGGGTTTAGTCGGGAGATGGTTCCCAATTATTTATGTGGATTATTTGATATCTTGTGGTATGTTTCAGAATGGTGATGACGAGACGCTTTGTGACTGGATCCGGTTCGGGATCAGGATCAGGAGACGGAGGCCAGGAGGGGCCAACAGCACCTGAGCCTGTGGTGCAAATGGGTACAGAGGTGTTGGATGCCAGGATTCGGGAGTTCCTGCATGATGAGGTTGCTGCTATGTTCTGGGCACAGTTGCCGGAGATGTTTGGGTCTATTAAGACCGCTATGGTTGAGTACTTCAACGAGCGTTACGCAGCCCTTGCATAGACTGCTGCCGCTGCAGCTGCCTCGGCCGTATCAGCGGCAGGAGGAGGTGGAGCCAGTCGGGGCTTCCAGTACTGGGACTTCAACACGAAGCCCCCGATATTCGATGGTACCCAGGATTCGATTAGAGCCATGAGGTGGTTATCTGACGTGGAGGGCTGTTTCTTCACGCGTTCATCTCCTACTGACCAGAAGGTCAGGTGTGCCCTGAACATGCTGAGGCTCGGGGCCAAGGACTAATGGAGGTTGACGACAGGGTCGTACACTGATGAGCAGAGAGCTACTATTACTTGGGAACAGTTCAGGGATATGTTCCGCGCCCGATACGTCCCACGGGTCGAGCGGGAACGATTGGCTCAGGAATTTTTGAGTTTGAGACAAGAGGGGGAGTCGGTGACGGAGATCACTCGTATGTTCACTGAGAGGGCGATGTTCTACCCAGATTTTGCTTCCGATCAGGCTCAGATGACCCGTTATCTGAGCATGCTCAAGACTGACATCTGTCAGTTTGTGTCTACCCAACGATGTGATACTCTTCTGGAGTTGCAGGAGGCCGGTAGGCGGCGTGAGTTGGAGATTGAGCTGCAGATGAGGGAGCAGCGGCAGGCCCCGGCGCAGTCGTAGTCGGCGCCGAAGCGGTCTAAGACGCTGATTCTAGGACCGGGGGTCAGCAGAGCCGCACTTGTGGAAAGTGCGGCAAGGGTCATTATGGAGCTTGTCGAGCGAGTAGTGGGTACCACAAGTGTGGCAAGGAGGGGAATTATGCTAGGGACTGTCGCCAGTCCGCCCCTGCATCGGATATGAGGATATGCTATCATTGTCATCAGGTTAGTCACGTGAAGACCAACTGTCCGCAGCTCGCAGCCAGGCCGGCGCAGGTTCCAGCGTCGGCTACATTGAGGATTACAGATGGGA